GAAATCGATGAAGCGCCTCCAGATGATGTTTTGAACCCAGACAAGACAGCGTTTAGTTTCCTGGGATATCTGGGACTTCCACAACATGTGCAAAGCAGCAATAGTGGTTATTTCTTCCACGGTTGGTGGTGGAAATAAATGGCTTAGTTGATAACGATTTCCATAAGCAACTCCTCCTCTCTGGCGCATCCGGTGTGAATTGCGTGAATGGCGCGAATAAGCACGAATGATCCCACAAGTAAACTCAAAAATTTGCTCAGCGCTTGGTGTGAACACAGCATAAGCCTTGTAGTTGGGACAGATCGCTTTCACACCACAAAAGAACTGCTCCAGAATCCGTTCATGACTGAGCAGAGACAACTTTCCAAATGGTCTAGCAGCGGTCTTTTTGTTCCGCACCCGAGTATGATAGTTGATAGTTTGGTTCTGCCGGAAGAAAATTGCACCAACCAGAGTCCAAATCCACAAGATAAAACTCCACAGGTTTGAAAATGACCTGAAACCCATATTTCTGAGATAATGCAGTGTCCTTTACTTGGGATTATGCAACATGTTTGGATTTTCTGAATATCAAAAGTAGCAGAGATTGAGTACAATAACATGTTAGATAGCATTGACAGTGTTTTTTTTAAATTAATTAATGACATCTACGGCCTTGTATTGGTCTTTTTTTTTTTAGCTTTGCACATTCAAAGGCAACAACTATAGCGCTGATCCCTCAGCAAGCCAGACTCGAGGGCTGTTTTGTAAACACACAAACTAAGCCACACATTCACACGGCATTGTATCATTAGCGGTGATGAAGTGCCACGGAATGGCGTGACCTGTAGCAGGCAAGTTGATCACGCCGTCAATTAGTTCTCTCCCTCGGTCCACTAATTACGCTGTCACATCCCATTGACGCGCCGTAGAGATTCGACTAGGAGGGAAAAAAACCAAACAATCTTTCTGTGTTTTCTGGGCCAAGAGGTCAAGAGGTTTCAGATACTGAGGTTTGATGAGATGTAACTGGTGGCCAGAAGGAGGAGGAGGAGGAGGAGGAGGAGGAGGAGGGGGAGGAGGAGGAAGACTGCTTGTATAGCCAGAGAGGCGGGGGAGAGAAAGGAGAGAGGAAGGGGAAGGCTGCGGCTCGGTTGTGAGGGATGGCAAATTGTAACTGGTGGATGGATTTCCATGAAATTCTGACGTTCATGATCCCCAGAGGATTCAACTTTGGTGATCCGGCGACTTTTCCTCTTGTGCCCACACCACGGGGTTGACATTTGTGGTTTTGAGTGAAACAATCCAACAACTATTGGATGGATCGCCATGACATTTTGTAAAAGACATCTGTAGAGCCCAGAGGATGAATCTTAAGGACTTTGGTGAACCACTGACTTTTTCATTGTGAGTTAAACAACTCAACAGCTACTGGACTGGACTGCCATGAAATTCGATAGACACACTCTCCTGTCCGTGTCTAGATGAATTGTAAAGACTTTGGCAATCCTCTGACTTCCCCTGTTGCGACATTACAATGTCAAGAGTCTCTAAGTCTTGTTACTTGACAGATGACTGAAACAATTATTTGAATATTAAGATGGTTAGTGATTACTTTATTCTACTAGCTTTGGCACTAGAAGATACTGTATATATCAAAAGGATGAGCCTCTTCTGATGAATGGCACACACCCTGACTCTGATTCATGATACAATCCAACTGATGGAGGATTGTTCTGGTATAATGTAGTCTAGTTTAGCCTATTCTCCTCCAAGCTATGTGTTATATCTGCTCTTCTCTCCGCTCTTATCTGGTTTGGTCTGGTGTGTTTTGATCTCCCCGATAATACGAGCACATTCCTTTATTTCCCCCATGCTCAGGCAGAAATCAGAACCCCTCCGGACTGCTTTATATTCCAGCTCCAGCTCCTGTTGATGTAACCACTTGATGATAACACCACTCGGCTTCTTTTCCTCACAGTTTCCAATGAGGTCTCTACGTGAGCACTCGGCTTGCATTTAGTTTGAACTATATCACATTGTGGGCATTGGTAAATAACACACATTCGCCTTTACTTTGGGGGCATTTTCAAGAGCAACGAGGCAACATTTTGACACCAAGGAAAAGAGCGCGAGGACAAGTCCGTCCTGCCGTTTAAGAAAACATTGACTCAGCCTCTGACATCAGCACAGACTACTGATAATAATCCTCATCATCTTGCCCCATCCGAGGTGTGTGTCTTGATATAAACACACTCCATCCTCCAAGACACCCAGTTTGTGTGATGCATTTGCCTCCTTTGTAGCAACTGTGCGCTGGCTTGTATGTGTGTGTGTGTGTGTGCACGTGTGGGGGTGTATTGTTTGGTATAATAACGCCTGATGAATGAGGAGTCTGCTTTGCTGACTGAGGATCCCATTAATAACTTGGCTCCCCCTCGCAATCCGTCACACACCACACGCACACACAGAATGGGGGTAATCAATGGGATGATTTAATAGCATCTGTTCTTTGTCCCCAGGGGAGTGAATAGCATCCATCGCTAGGTTTAGCTTTAGAGGCTTTGGGTTACAGATATGGAGGATTTTGGACTGGTACAATTTGGAGCGGTATCAGAGCTGCTTTAGCTTAGCATAAAGACTGGGACATAGGAGTTGACTACCAAACACCAACTTCCCTGGGCTTTGTTTACATAGCTGGGCCGGCGGCACGTGCCTCAGCGCTGTCATCACTGTCGACATTGTTAGCCTTGTTAGCACCGTTAAGTTAGCTGCTAGCCGTCTCCATGTGAAGGCAGTAGATACACTTTGAATTTTTAAGCACCTTGACTTAGTGAGCTTTAGATGTACTGGTAGTTGTTAGTGGGTATTATCATAACTTTGAACAGACCCAGGCTATGTTATTTTTCTTTGCTTTTAGTCTAAGCTTATCACTTTTTGGTTCTTGCATCTTATTCTATTGTCTGGGTGAATACTCGATTCTGATTGGCTGCAGGGTCAATTCCTGATAATAGTCCACCTACTAAGTAGTAGTTCTGGTTAAACTCTGTTCACCGTTTTAAATTAATTCGATGACTACATTTAGTAAAATAGATATTTAGTTTACATTTGAAAACTAATTTAAACATATTACAAGCGATGGTCTTTAATTTGCTATTCAACTCGCTAACGTTACCCAAGCGTAACGATGGCTTTATGCTATATGCTAGTCAATAATTCGGTAATATATTAATGTTGATTTGGGGACAGTGACATGGCTAGATAGCTAGCTTGTCCTGTTGTTAAACATACAGTCAAAGTATGCTTAATGTTTTTAACCGTACGGAATTATATTGACTTTGAATCTTGCCAGCATAACGTTAGCTTTCTGGCTTATAGCTGAGCCAAAGAGTTGAGCTGAGCACTAGAAATATCTCCCACTGGCAGATCGTATGGTCAATGGTCCTATTTACTGTAGCAGTGAACAACGTTTCCATTGCCTCATGGGGTGGCAATGATTGTTCCAGGAATTAGCAAAGCCTCAGGGCTACCAGGGAAAAGGAGTGAATGGCTTGAGAAAAAAAACTTACATTTTGGTTGCAAAACACCTAAAAATACAAACTAATGATTTTATTTGTTTTTCTTTGGCAAGTGATCGTGGTGTAAGAGGGACAATGCCCTTACCAGGAATCAATAGTCTTCCTGGAGGCTACAGTCACATATGACACACAGACCATAGGAGTGGCAATGATTTTTCATCTAACTCTTTGCGGCACATTTTCCAAAATATCAAACAATCCCTTGAAAAAATCATCACATGCTTAAGTTTTTGGACAGCCTGCAGGCTGCATTAAATGTTACTGTCATGGATTCATAGTGAACATATTAATAATACTTTACTGGAATAACTGACTGGGCTATCAGAGTTTTTAGGATTCCAAATCAAGCAGATTTTACAACCATGCAATCGAAGACATAAATGACAACTCCGCCTCCATAGACAGGGTGAGGGGGTTAACCCTGCGGCCCAAGAATCGTAAAAGACGTGACTCTATAGCGGTGAACAGTATTGAACATGTGTCAGAGAAGCTCCAACTGGAGGAAAACACCCTGACTAACAATTCACAGTTTGTGGCTGCGCTGGAAGGATGCCATTTGATTGAAAAATATTGACTTTGAAAAGTTCTGTTCCACAATATAGATATGTTTCTTCTTAGACATTTTGGCACCTACTGCACTCTGTATACTTGCTTCATAGTCTTTCCCTTAAATGAGAGCAAGTGAGTGTAAAAACCTCCCACCTTAGGGTCGTAGTGTATCGAAGCACAAGTGGGGAAACTGCAGCACATGGCAGCAATCCAGCCCAGATAATTATGCAAAGTAGCACAATCGATTCTACTTAAAAAAATGTTTGGCAATATCTGTTGCCGTTTTTGTTAATGAGCATTTTAATCCCAAGATGTTCCACCGTCAGTTGACAGTTATTGACAGTTAAGGCAGTTATTGAGCCATTCAGAAACTAGATGACTTTTTGATTCATGTTTCAGGTGCCTCAGTCGCAGGCCCACTGTGTTGACTGTCAGACAGTATAGCAGGTACATTTGAAAGCAGCATACTCACCATACGGGGCTTGGGGATGAGCATCTAGTGGAGCTGTATATTGGGTATAACAGGGTCTGCCACTGTTGCAGACTGCTGCTGCCGACAATCGGTACGGGTGAAAAGGCATAAGGAAAGCTTGAAACAGTGGGTGAATGACATCATCAAACAGCAGCTAAAAAATTGTCGCTAATTGAAGTACCTGAGAATTATGTTATGGATCACCCGTCATGTCAAATTCCTTGTATGTTCAACATACTGTGGCAATAAATGCTTCTGATTCTGATTCTATGTTGTGCCGTTAATGCCAAATTTATGAGAATCCACTGAAAAGAGTTGAGTTGATGGAAGTGCTGTTATAGTGTTGCACCAACAAACAAAACAGTGAAATGTTTTGCTCATATTTCTAATCTTGTTTGCCGTCTGTTGTTTGTCTCTTGCAGCTCAGCAGATGAGAAATTTCGCTGGAACAACCAAGGTAACATTTCTTCTCAAATGCTCTCAAATCATACACTCTGTCTGGTGCTCTATTGTGTGCATTCCGGCAGTGCACATTGCTGACTGTGCTTTATTATATTGGTAGCCATTGTAAAAAGAAATAATAATAAATCCCCCATCATGCTCTTACATTGTATTAATGCAATCCTGTAAAAGAAGTAGTTTGGCTGCAGCGTTTTAAAATGCTGAATCAAACTCACTCTCCACATTGAACGCTAAATAAACACAAAAGGCTTGCTCTAACAGAAAAAAACTTTCAAATCCCCTCACGCCTTCTGACAGCTGAGTAAAAGTCAAACAGCATCTCCAAATAATTCTGAGTATTTAGTTTAACCTGTTTGCAGAGCCAGATGGGAATAGGCTTTCCATAAAGCAGAAAACAGGAATCAATGAGTGCGAGGCCTTTTAGGTGATTTGAAAGTCAAATGAAGACACCTCTCGGGGCTTGACAACTTCTTTGACAGCACTTTAGTTAAAAAAACATCCACTCATGCCTGACACCTAGGTCACTCTCTTCACCTCTTTGTCAGTCATGCCGAGATGTGTGGGGTGTTGAGAGCAGATTGATTGCCTGAGTGCAGGGTTGGCGACCTTTGCCAACAAAGTGGCGACTAAAGGTCCGTGGTCAAAATGTTTCACACCGACAGGCTTTCTGCGTCCGCTGCGGTCTTCATCCGTCCGTTGCACTGAAGTACCGACCACCGGGGCCTGTGAGAGAGAGAGTCAATTTTCTCTGTCACGAAAAAAATAAAAAACCCTCCCTCGCTCCAATCAGACCTGTTTTGATCTCGGCATCGCTCACAAATCATTAAAAACCCATCGCTTTTGGATCAAGCAGGTTTGAAAATGAGTTCTGGCTGGAAAGGCGGAGAGTAAATCCAGCGTAACGCCGCAGACCGCACTGAATTGGAAATGTTTCCCCAACAGCATCAACATCATCAGTCTGCAATGGCGTCATTCCAAGTCAATAAAATCCGCCTCCTAGATCCACTCAAAGGGCCTCTGCTTTTACCATCTCTCTCTCTCTCAATAAGAGATTAATGTTGCTCCTCAGACTCATTTGTAAGTTGTATCCCCCTTGGCAGCCCTCTCTAACTTGGAAGACACCGGGCATGTTATGTGCCTGGCTCTGGCAGACAAACGGCCTGGTATCTAAGTACGAGGCGGCGCCTCACAGACCTAGATCCTGGATTTGTTGCTGGATTATCAGTTAGGTTTTTTATACCCTTGACCCAAAGGGTCATCCTCACACTTAACTCTGTGATGAGACATGAGTGGGGCCGCTTCTTCGGTCGCTAATCAGCAGCTGAATGAGAAAATTATTTTTAACTTACATGTTCTAATTGTATCTTGATGGGTGAGGTGTGGAAAGGACAAGTAAAAGTTCACAATAGTTCACAAATTCACAATATTAACTCAAATGATCAGAGACTTAATGTGCAGATAATTGTAAAGACAATAATGTAGTTTTAACCTGTTGAACCTTTGGCTGTTTTGTTCAGTTTTCACTAACGACATTAATACTACAAGTCTTAGCTAGCTTGCCATAAATTGTTATTTTCAAAATAAGTTAGGCTGCTACTCAGAAAGGCCATTCATTTGCAATGTGTCAGTGGTGCTATGCAGGTTTCTTTATTTAAAAAAAAAACGTTTTAAGCAAATCAAAATGATTTGGATATTTATTTGCCTACATGTTTTGAAAAGACAAACTATCCGCATGTGAATAGAGATGGTTTCCAAGCATTCCATGGTTGTTGATGGGACATTCTGAGCAAATTGTTTATTAGCATTTATTAGTCATTTTGTTTTTATTTCCAAAAGCCTATCCTGGACAGTAAGCATTGCTAGCTTAGCACTCCTTTTTTTAACCTTCATTTCCGTGGGGTGAACCTGCACCGCAAAATATCACGCTGCATTAGTTCTCTTGTGCACAGACAACAATCACTTGATTTTTGATACGGAAGGAAAAAGAAATATCAAAACATGATGATTACGAGACACGATGTAAAAGTCTGTGCATGGAGTGTTTCCATTTCCATTATGAGAATTGTGTGTTTTGGGAAGAATTGTGTCATTTGGGTTCAAGACCTTCACTACTTCTATTGAAATAGCCTTCACAAAGCACATATTCTTCAGTTCATTTGTGTAAACACAAACACCCATTTTTGCAGGTATCCCCTATCGGGTAAATCCAGCTGCACTGCACTGCAGGTGGCAGAAGAAGCTGCGTCTTTGCTTCAAGTCGTGTGTTTTTTTTTCTTCCCATTTTCGTTCATGCAGATGGACAGAAGGACATCGAGGAGGAGCTGACGACAGGCTTGGAGCTGGTGGACTCCTGCATCCGATCGCTCCAGGAATCGGGCATCTTGGACTCACAGGACACGTCTGCAGGAGACAGTAAGGCCAATGTTATGACGCCGACAGTCCGAGAAGGATAGTGTCGAAGAGAATAGATCAAAAGCAATCAAAGACCATGGGATGGATATTTTGCAGCGCTGGAGTCTCCAGGTCTTTTTAAAGAGTGGAAAGTCCTTCTTTGAATAAACAGTGAAAAGAAGACAATTAGACCTTTTTTTTATTAAATTTAATCAAGCCTGTGAGATACAATTTTTTCACTCAAGCACTTGTTCTAATTAAGATGTTCTACCCAAAGGCTGAACAAGTGGTTGTCTTTCATTAGATTTCATCACATTTTCCAAAAGTGCTACTTGAAAAATATGAAATAATTTTAAGCACAAGTAAAATGGATAAGAGTGGTGATCAATTTGTCTGTTAGTGTGTCCAGCTTTATTACATTTTTGCTTTAACGTGAGGGTCACATAGCCTACCTTTTCTTTGTCTGTTCACCACGGTGAATATTTATGCTCCATGCTACCAAACACATTTTAAATCTTTCTGTGCTTCATGTGATCTTTCCAAGATCCTGGCTTTTCAGACCTTTTGAAAACCAAATGCAGAAGCTTTCATAAGCTGGATATATTCTGAAATGGTAGTCGAGCAAAACTGAACTTAATTCATATTGCAAATTTTGTACATCACCTTAAATCTGCATTAACGGATTTTAGCCACTTGGGGGCGGCGAAAAGCAGCTGTAACACAGCAAGGACATATCAAGTTCTAAAGCTCGGCAGACGTGTTAGCAAGAAGTTTCCTTTTTATATATCCAGCAAACTCGGAGCAACATTACATTTGAAGCCAATGAATACAACTCCAGTACTTGTTTTACTCTCCTTGCTCTGTTTTAGTTTCCACTAGAGATTCTTGTGTGGATGCATAAATCATCCACCCGCCACCCACAAAAATTAATTAATTCCTCCGATTCATTTTGCTCCCCCTCTCTACTAGACCTAGGCTATGTTGTTTTTTAAATTATGTTTTTAAGTCTGTTGATGTATGACTGTTTTCTTCAACGATTAATTTGAATGATTAAAAGGCTGCTGTCAGTAATTGTAAAAGTTTCCATGCGCAGTGATGTCAGTGCAGCAAACAACGTGGGACATTTAAGCAGCAAAACTAAAAACTGTAGGCTAGCTAAAGACTTGACAGATGAAACATACATAGACGTGTAGCATATGAGATAATTAATGAGGTTACGGATCATAAAACTCAAATAGTATTACACTGTAAAAACACTGTAACTCAATCACGTTGTGCGGAATGGCCGTATGCAAAACGTGGATCCCAGTAGTTGGTCAACTGCTTGCATACATCTATTGAACCTTTTTTTTTTTTAAGTGTTGGAACTGCCGCAAATTTGCATCGTTTCCAGTATCCATACTGACAACTGTGAATTTTAAAGTTCCACAGCTGTTGTGTTGTTGTTTCAATTTCAGAGTGCAAACTGTTTATGAGAGCTGTCGGTGAGATCCTGAACAACTCCCCGTGACTCCACTCTCATTTTTTTTTTGTGTTCGGTCCCAGGGATGATACCCATGTCTCATGTATAGGCGACCCCATGGGAGAGAAGTAGCTGTCAGGAGACATGCAGAGCCATGCCAGTAGTTTAAAATGCTAATCCATCCTCGCTGGGGTGTCAGCTGGCCTGCTGTTCACAGGGGCAGAGAGTGGAGGCACACAGACACACACACACACATACGGGCACATGCCAGTATACAATACAGGCACATAAAGCCATAAATGTGCATGCATATATAATAACACATTAGGAATGAATCATAACCAGGCATGAATAAAAACCCAGAAGAGCACAGGCCTGCATGCATACTTTGTTTATGCACACACGCAAAGCACTGGCAGATACACACGTGCATGCAAAACTAGGAATAGTAATTCTGTTTGATGTTTAAATAACAGTTATGTAACCGACCACCTGACTAGTCCAAAAAAAAAAACTAAAGTGCAAGCAAGAGACAGATGGAGAGAGACAAAGGGAAATATGAGAGAGCAAAATCACCCAAAAAATGTAGCTTTCAATTACTCTTTGCTAATCCCTGACCCCAAACATTGACTATCAAATATTGATCGTCCAATCATAGCTTAGCAACTATAACTCGGCACAGCGTTGGATTTCTGTACATGTCAAAGTGGTGAGCACGGGGCTGTAGGAAGAGAGATACTCTGTATTTAAGTGCAGGAAGGGTGGTGTCTTTTTTTGTCATTTCCAAACCTCAAAGCTCAAGAGCAAAGCTGAAAGGAATGGATTATATAAACAGCAACCGTTAGCATATCCAGGCAACTAGCTTATCACCTTACCGCAGTAACAAAGTGTTATTTCAACAGTCAAGGAGCACGTCATTAACTTACTAGCATCAGCACCTTTGGCTTGTGGGGGTCACAGGCTATGTTACGAAAAAAAATAAATGAATAATAATATTCATGAACAACACATCAACTGTTTTGGAGCTGGTCCTGCATGCTATCAGAGTTGAGGCTAACATTAGCGCTCTGCGCTGCTCTTCATTGGATTAGGGGAAGTTTACCTCCCATTCAATGTTTACCCCAAGACAGCGTCACGTTTGCCAAACAGTAGAAGCTTTTCTCTTGTGTCATCAAGTCAAACATGGTCATGTTCAAAATAAATTATCATTCCTATTATACATGAAACACAAACATGTCAATAACCATTGGTGAATGTCACCGTCAACTGCATGATCAAAAACCTTTTTATAGGATTCGAAATGAGTCAGCTGGAAACATTTAAAAGTCAACCAGATGCAGTGTTTTTTTGACCAACTCTTGGACATTCTTAATCGGCAAACTAGCTACAGCTGGTAACAACTACAAGTGAATGGTGTCATCGGCTGGGGAAAAATGGACAGTTGCTGCCTGGAACAGACCCTTCACTAAGTCCGGCCCCTCAAATGCAGACTGGCCGATCATAGCGTAGCACGATGCGGCTCTGCTCCAAAGACTCTCATGCAATTGTGTCAGATTTTGTTCATTTTCAAGCTGGTTTTGTGGTCATGGTTAAACATTTTGTAATATTGATACTCATTACCAGGAGAGGTTGGAAGGAGACATTCGAGAATGTTACATTTCTACGTAAAATGTACGTTAGCACATCATTAATTAGTGTTAGCACTTCTATGCTATGCTAGCTACTGAAGGTATACTGAATGTAAACACCTGCTGCTTTTGCCTTTTAATGATTGTAACAGTAAATGAAGAACTACCCAGCTTTACAGGAACAGTGCTGTTCATTAATATCATTGTCTCCTGTGGTGGCTCACTTTTACACTGTGATCTGTAGCTTTAGCTTCTACCTTTATCTTTACAACCTGTTTTCACTGCTGAATCAGTTTGACATCCTGATACATCCTTCAATATAACAACCTTCTGTCTGCTTCTCTCTGAAATCACTTTAGCATTTTCCCCAAAAAAATAGATATTTATTCAGGGAGTGCAGTTTGTGACAGTGTGGGCTCCATAGCTCTGACAGCTTGACAGAGTAGCGGTGGGAGGCGGGGCTTAGCAAAGTGTAATTTGGGAAGCTTGCATTGTCTACCACTGTCTAAAATACATGGGCTTATTGTTTTGGAAATGACTGAGAATTGTGCACGGTGAATCTGCCGAGTGGTCGGTCGGTATTTGTTTCATTGTGGTTAAGAAAAGAAGAAGCAAAAAAGCAACAGTTTGTTTCAAATGTCCATTAAGCACACAAGCATATGGGCGTTACTTAACACACATGCATACAAGCATGAAAATAAGCCTTAAACCCTAGCACGTACGACAAGATACACACACACACACACACACACAC